TAAAGATAAATATAATTTATTTATTTCATATATACAATATGGATGTCAAATCGAAGGTTATCAAAAGATGATTAATTTGATATATAATATATGTAAAACCGATAAGAAATACAAAAGTTATCAACTTTTAAAATACATTTACAATTCAATAGCTAATTGAAGGAAACAAATCAAAGTCATGGATATATTAGTCACTTAGTGTCTTACTATGTAAAATTACAAATAATTAAAGGGTTATATTAGTACAAATGATATTAAAATACCTAAGTTAGATAAATAATATTTATGGAATGTCCGAACCTATATTATTAATTAATTATTAATATATCAATATTATTTGTCCAAACCTAATTATGAAGCATGATTCTTCGCCAAGTAGGATTCCGAAGCATCAGATGCAGTCACGTAGGCTCAGCGCATTCGAGAATTATATATAGGGAGGATGTATTTGAAAAATAAAAAAAACACTGCTCATTAAACTTTCTACGATCATCATTCGTTTAAGTTATTGTATGCAATAGAAACTTTTATCCATGTATTTTGTTATAATGTGACAATTTGTTTGAAATATGTGATGAATGTTGTATGCGTAAGAAAACTTAGTTTTCTACCTATAAATGAAGAACTTAATATAGAAACTGAAGTAAACCAAACGGTTCTTCAAGTGCAAGGTTGAGTGCTACACTGACTATCATTCAAACACTCAGATGGCAGCCGACCTCGTTCAGCAAAGGACCGCCAAAATTCAGCACCTCTTATTTTAAGAGGTGATAACAAAATGTGTTATTTTATTGCACCACCCTTTTTCGTTCCCGTTTCCTCATGAAAGATCTTTCATCATTCCCATGGTAGACAACACTACACAAAGGCATATGTAGCCGAATGTTTGGCGTATAATGATTTCTTGTGTAGAAGTCTCATACTGACTTGACAACATACTCTATAATGAGTATATTCCGCTTACGAGATAGCCAAAGAATTATGGAATTCTTAACAAAGTACAAAACGACAAGCGTTAGAATTAAAAAGTTTTTTGTCGGTAAATCCCTTGTGTGCGGATTTTTTTGGCCGAGAAATTGATAGTGAACAAAGCATTTCAAGTGGCGATAATTGTCGAAAAATTGTCTCCTTTGAAGGACTTCAAGAGTTATCTTATGCATAAACACAAAGAGATGAAACTTGAGGATTTGATCGTCCAATA